CCATAGGGTATTAGGATTTTGAATAATTCTCCAGGCTGCATTTGCTAAAAGAGCTAGATTGAAGCACTTGAGATTTCTGAAGCCCGAACCACCCTGCATCTTCCTATTACACATTCTATTCCATGCCACCCATTTAATTTTATTTTCCTTACTCCTCTGTCCCCAAATCAAATTTGACATAAGCCCATTAAGCTTCCTGCAAATACCTTCAGGAATCCTAAAGTGGCTCATATAATGAATGGAAGATGGGGTAGCAATAGTTTTGACTAAAACATCTTTCCCAGCTTGCGTAAGGGTACCTCCTTTCCAACCTTGCACTTTTGACTGAGTTCTGCTCACCAAATCATCAAAGATCTTTGATTTATTTGCCCCAATAGAACTTGGAATGCCTAAATATCTTGGCTGGCCCTTGCTCTCCTTAATCACTAGAATTCTTGTGATGATTCTCTTGAATTTAGTAGGGGTATTTCTGCTGAAACTCACATCCGACTTCTCAAGTTAATAAGTTTCTCTGAGACTTCAAAGTATTACTGTAAGATTTTTTTTTTTTTTTTTTTTAATTTGAAGAGCATTCTGAATGTCAGCCTTCAGAAACAAGAGACAATCATCAGCATAAAATAGATGTGAGATACTCACACCTGATCTCTTGAACCTCAATGGATGCAACCTTCCATTCTGAATTGAATCTTGGATTTGAAGAGAAAGAGCTTGAACAGCTAAAATGAAAATGTATGGGGACAGGGATCCCCTTGTCTAATTCCTAGAGATGGCTTCACCTTTCCTCTTTGTGTGCCATTTATCTTGAAGGCAAATTCCACCGAGCTTATACAACTTTGAATTAGGCCCTGCCAATGTGAATTGAAACCCAATTTATCCAAGACTTTAATAATATATGACCATTCCAATCGATCATAAGCCTTGTTAAGGTCGATTTTAATGGCCATGTAAAAGGTTTTACTCGACTTATCGTTTTTAAGGAAATGAAACGCCTCATGAGCTATTCTTACATTATCAGAAATCATTCTGTTCTTCACAAAGGAACATTGGGAATCATCTACTAAAAGAGGAAGGACTTGTTGAAGCCGGTGCACCAAACATTTAGAAAAAAATTCTATATGTCACATTTGTCAAACTTATTAGCCTAAAATGACCCATCTCTTGGGGGCAAAGACATTTGGGGGTGAGACATATGCTCGTGAAATTATAGTTATCGAGATTGTTCCTCTTCTAAACCAATCCTGCAAGGTTGTAATAAAATCAGGACCAATTATGCTCCAGAATTTTTGAAAGAAGATAGCCAACAAGCCTTTCGGACCCGGAGCCTTAAAGGCTCCTATAGAGAAGCTGCTCTTTGAATCTTATCTACACTTAGGGGGGCACAAAGAAGAAATTTCATCTCCTCAGAAAGAATGGGGTTAATACACTCAAAAAAGTTATTGTTTACATTTGGATTTGAGGAAGTAAATAGATCATCAAAATAATTTAAAATTACCTCCTCAACTTCAGCTTCAGAAGTAACCAGATGTCCATCTCTATCTTTAATGCAATGAATACGGTTTCTTTGTCTCCAAATAATGGTGGTGTGATGAAAGAATTTGGAATTACGGTTACCTTCTTGGAGCCACAATATCCTTGACTTCTATTTCCACATCAACTCTTCTCTATGCAGCTCAATATCTAACTGATTTCGAAGGTAGGCAACTTGCTAAATGTTGGAGTTATTTACTACCTCATGTTGCGCCATCTCTAGTTGGCGTTTCACTGAATTAATGCAGTGCCGAATATGGCCAAAAGATTGTTTATTCCAAGTCTTTTAAGGCTTGCCTACATCTGCTCAGCTTTGACCCGAGAGAACACTGCCTATTCAGGGGAGTCCAAGCCTCATTTATGACTTCTTCGCACTCCGGGTGAGAAGCCCACATCCCCTCAAAGTGAAAAGGGCGAAAACCTCTCCAAGTATCCTTGTAACAATGAAGGATAATAGGACCATGATCTGATCCCACCGATCTAATCTTTCCCAAATTAGCCCAGAATTGTGATGATTGTTGCACGAAGTGAACCTCTGCCCAATACTTCCAAGATCGATCAATTGACAATCATCAATCAACCTGTTAATTTGCATCTTTAGGTCGTTTGTCCAACCAACTAACAGACCACCAGCACTACCAACAGGCTCCACTTCAAAAAAATTAACAAACCCCTGGTTGTTAAGGGTACGCTGGAACCGACTAGAATTTACTTTAGTCTTCGTCTCCAGATTTTTCAAGATACCACATTTTCTTTTTTTCCTTTCTTTTCCACCGAGGTTTTAACTAGACTTGATGATTTCCCGTCCACTTTGTTTTTCCCGCTCTCAATCTCAGCAATGCGAATCCTCTTCCCTGTGCATTCTTCCATCTGTTCACCCGGCCGTTTGTGGCTTGCTATGGTGTGGTTTATCATAGTAAACCAATTTGGTGGGGTAGGGGTGCTAAATTCTGGATACGGCCCAACCCGGTCTAATCAGTTAATCTCAATCGGGTTAACCGTTGTCCATCCTTGAGTCAAAAAATTGAGATATGATAATACAAGGCATAAAGCTGAATGAAAAAGAGTCGTTAGCTGTTCTAACATACCATCATTGAGTTCAGGACCATACCTTTTTTCGTCCGGGTAATTGACTGCCCAGGTCCATCAGTCCTTCCTTTGAAAGTTGGCTGGGTATATGACTTGTACGCCACGCCTGTATCTTGCTTCATGGCTTCATGGAAATTTGTTAGACAGTGTATGCAATCCAATTAGCATGATGCAAATTATGACATTTATTGTAAATGAATAGACTACATATTTGATTCATGTTATTGTGGTGTATTTCTGTATAATACCCTTAAACTGAATACATATAAGATTCGTGTTATTATAGAATCTTTACAGTCGTTGGATAGATCTAATGAGATTTATCCTGTCAAGGCTGACACTGATGTGCCGCCAAGACTAACACTGAAACTCGTGTTAGTTTCATTAATATCCACACAAGGCTTTTAATATCTTGAATTATCACCCACTGAACTATGCAAAAGCACTACCCCGTTGGCTTTCAAAGTATTGTTTTAAGTGCATTAATGGTAGATAATATTCTTTTTCCTATTTTTGTGTTGTAGAAATTATACAAAGACATGGAGAATCGGGTAGAGATTGTAACTACCCAAGGTGAAATCACAGAGGAAATGCGCAAAGCACACAAAGGATTTCTTGAATGGGTGTTGGATTCGAATCCACGTGATCATCAAACCATTCTTCAGGTGATAGATTTCTATTGAAAAAATGAAATGAATTCAACCTTGTAACAAATAATAAATAAATAAATAAATTTAAAGGTCCTAACTATATATTTCTCTTGGCTAATATGTTTTAATTTTATTAGATATTAATTGATGGAAGAGACCACAATTTTGTGGACATGGAAGGAAAGCAATTGCCAACTCTGGTATACATGGCCCGTGAGAAGAGACCCAATTACCATCATAACTTCAAGGCTGGAGCTATGAATGCACTGGTAACTTATTGGAAACAAATACAAATACTGCATAAATAGGGTTTGCAAAACATTTTAGAGGGTGCCATACAACAAGAATGGTTTTGTTTTCATTTGTTTTTGTTTTGAATTTAGCACCATCAAATAATGTTTTTAAAATAAAAACAATAACATATTTTTGGTTTTTGTTTTGAAAACAGAAAAGACATACATAACCAAGAGCATGTTAATTTTGTTTTGTTTTGAGAAGCAATTTGTTTTCAAATCAGATGGTTTTGATTATTTTTGAAATTCGCAACAAGAAAAAAAAAATTGTGTTATGGAATGTTCCCTTAGGGGGTGTTCTACAACAAGAATGATTTTGTTTTCATTTGTTTTTGAAATTGTCACATGAACAAAAGAAAACAAAAACAAAAGAATGCTTTCTATTTTTGTTCTAATAAGTAAAAGCAAGTTAGGTTTGTTTATTAACAATTATCTTGCTTTTTGTATAGTTTAGATGACTTGTCGAATATGATATTAAATGACCAAATGAAAACATGTTCTTTAAAACAAAAACTTCGGCTTAGTTTGGAAGGAGTACAAATACAAATATGTACAGTACAAATACATACAATATAATACAAAATTCATAGTTTTGCACTCTACATATTTGTATTTGTACTCCTTCCAAACTCAACCTTAAGAATATAATATAATACAAAATTCATAGCTTTTCAAATGCCGCTAAAAATCACTTTTCTTATAGTGACTCTCGGTATCATATTGAAAGAAAAAACATATACATAACCAAGAACATGCATGTTTTCTGTGTTTTTAGTTTAAGAGTCAATTTGTTTTCAAACTAAATGGTTTCATTTTGTTTTGGAACTTACAACAAGAAAAACAATTCAAATTAGAGATCACCCCCTTAATTTTTACCACTAACCAATTCTTAAACATCATTATACATATTAAGTTAATTATCAAACTCTAATACAAATTTTGTGAAGATGTTTAACAACTATTTTTTTTTTCTTATTACAACATCAATCATTCATTTTGTCATGATCAATCACACAGATAAGGGTGTCATCACAAATCAGCAATGGAGAGATTATCCTTAATGTAGACTGCGACATGTACTCTAACAATTCAGAGTCCATAAGAGATGCATTGTGTTTTTTCATGGATGAAGAGAAAGGCAATGAGATTGCGTTTGTACAATACCCACAAGTCTTCAATAATAACACCAAGAATGATATCTATGGCAGCTTAATAAGAATCGGCATTGAGGTTTGTATTAGAAAACACTTGCAACTAGGGGTGCAATCAAGCTGAACCAAGCCAAATTTTGGCATGTCTTGACTTGGTTCAACTAAAATACTTTCGGGTTCGAGCTCGAGTTTGATTAAATATTCAATGAGTTCAAGTTTGGCTCAAAAGGTCAAAAATGAATATATTTTTAAATATATAATATATAGTATATTCTTATAATTTGATTTGATGATTCTAATTGAATTCAAATCTTGGGGTAAGCTCGATTAGCTATTCGAACTCAAGCTTAACCAATAGAAAGTTCAGTTTGAAAAGTTGCAACTTTAGAATCAAACTTTCTATTGGTCAAGCTTGAGTTTGAATAATTAATTGAGATTACCCCAGGATTTGAACTCAATTAGAATCGTCGAATCAAACTCAAGCCAAGCCTAATTGAACCTGAGCCCAAACTTTTCAATTAGAGTTCAATTCAACTGCACCCCTATTTATAAGCATTTTGAAGGTTGAAGTTGAAAGTGCTTTGATTTGTTATATTTATGTGCTCAAAATAGATTTCATGCATCTTATTTTTGCTTCATTTTCTTCAATGATTTTGAATGAAGTTGGAGCTTCATGGATTGGATGGTTATGGAGGCCCTTTGTATGTTGGCACTGGATGCTTTCATAGAAGAGAGGCCCTTTGTGGAAGAAAATACAACAAAGAATATAAGAGAGACTGGAAGAGAGAGAATACCAAGAAGGTAAAATTTAATGTAAAGGAACTAGAAGAAAAACTAAAGGGCCTTTCCAGTTGCACATATGAGGTGAAGACTGGATGGGGAAAAGAGGTCTCTTTCTCTCTCTCTCTCTCTCTCTCTCTCATACAAAAACAAGCTCACTTGTGTTTCATGACCGTTGAATTGCAGATGGGATTGGTATATGGCTGTCCAGTGGAGGATGTAGTAACAGGATTAACAATTAAATGTAGGGGTTGGAGAGCAATTTACTTCAACCCAGCCAGGAGGAGCTTCTTAGGGCTTGCTCCTACCACATTGGCTCAAGCACTTTTGCAACACAAGAGATGGTGCGAAGGTCATTTCAAAATTGTATTTTCCAAGCACTATTCATTGTGGCAAGGACATGGAAGGATAAAGGCAGGACTTCAAATCGGATACTGCATCTATAATATGTGGGGATTTAATTGCATCCCAACATTATGTTACATCATCATCCCTTCACTCTGTCTCCTACAAGGCATAGTCTTGTTTCCATCGGTATGAACTTCCTTATTCCAATAATAGGCATGGATTTTTGTCTCAATTTTCTTTATACCAAGAATATATTCTAAGTGTATGTTGACTGGCTCAAATTTATGAGTTCGGATCCCCTGCTAACAAAATACATTCCAACACCCTATCAACTTAATCTGATACCACACATCTCACTATGAACTTGGAGCCATCGAAAAAGTGGGACCTACCACGCATGAGATGTGCGGTATTGGATAATGTTGGTAGGGTGTTGGAACGGATTTTCTTGGCAGGTGATTCAGACTTCAAACTTATCTCATTTGAATGTGTTACCCTTTTGCTTTCTAGGCGGTGGTTGGTTGGAAATCAGATTCAGTCAGTGCAGAACCTATTCCAACAGCCATTATAGCCTTGTATTGGGAATATCTCCCCATGAAATAAAGAACCAAAGTACAGAGATGTTCCCGGTGCAAGGCTGTTCGAATGGACCTTGCACTGACTGAAGCCGACCTCGGTTGGTTGCACATTGCAGTGCAGATTTTGATGTGGTACAAAATCTGCTTCCAATACATTTTTGCTTTCGTTTGTTTATAGTTATTATTTAAATTCCTATAGCTATCTAATGCAAAAATTGTACTTTTGCCTTTTTTGCACTCGTTGGCAATGCAAATTTTGTGTCCAAAAAACGGATGCAAATTGCAAAGTTTTCACCACCTTCCTTCTACCTCAATTCTTTTCAAGATAAAGTGGGAACCATATTATCTTGCATCCTACCTTACATTTCTACATAGATAACCTTCCTCTTACCTCCATTGATCTCTTTCATTTAAAGTGGAGGTCACCTCATTTTACTTCTGAGAAACAAATAAGACAAAATCTGAAACAAAAGTAAATCAGAATTTGCACACCCTTTTGCAATCCCATGCATTTAGACCAGTGCAAATGGAATCTGTAGTGCAATCAACTGCAGCCTAATTCTTTTAAGCTTATTTTGAAGTCAAAAGATGTTAGGAAGATACACTACAGTAGCAGAAATGATTGTAAAAACCATCCCGAGACAGCAAGAACATTTCCCTTAAGTTTGTGTGTCGAAGTGGGTTTGCCAACAACAATGATAATAAATAAACAATTCAGCCAAGTAACAGAAAAACAAATAGCAATCACTACACAATAGCACACCAGAATGTTTATGTGGAAAACCCCAAAATTGGGGAAAAACCATAAGACCTATGATCCGTAAAAGTCTTCCACTAATTCATAAATTTATAGATATAGTAGTCCTCTCAAATTGCAATTAGAGGATTACAAACATCAAGGAAATAATCTTTGACTTAGAAGTATAGCATTAACATCACCAAATATAAGGTGGATACAACAAAAAACAGAGCTTTAGATCTCACCAACTTGCTGTAAATCTAAATTGAGAAGAAAAAGAAAGAAGAATCAACAAATTTGAACTGGAGTGGGATTCTTAACTCCAGCACCTAATCTCATCAAGAATAGACTTGAAATACCTCTGAGCTTGGTCTTGAATAGAGCAGAAAAACCAACTCTCTTCTTCTCTTCTTCTCTTCTTCACAAACTCAAAACCCAGAAAACCCTTGATATCTGTTTTCTTTTCTCTTTTCTCACTTCCATAGTTACGAAAAGGAAACACACCCAAAACAAAAAGGTGGGAGCCTTTTTGGGTTCCACAATACCGCTCCTTTTTGGGAGCATGAAAAAGTGGGGTGGGCCCCGCATATGGGCTGGACCCACACCCAACAAAAGATAATATAGAAACATTTGCCCAAACAGTTTTATGTCCGGTCCGAGTATGACAGCATTGTTCTACTATACTCGAGTTCTTTTCTTATTGTTTAAACTGGTAAGTTTGGGTGAAGGAAGCCAGCTGAGGTTTCTTTTCAACTCTTAGACTGCCTGCAAGTAGCCCAAAGCTTGAATGTAATCTTCTCTTTTGTTAAGCGCTCTGCAAATCAAGTGACTCATACTGCAGCTCATCATGGTTTGTCTCAGAGTTTCTGTAGCTGGGAAGCGTGCCCACGGTGGCCAGCAAACTCTGTCTTGAAGGACATTTCTCTTTGTTGTTTTTCTTGACTGTGTTTTTTTCCTTTTGCTTTTTGTTTTTTTGTGTTCTTTCTGTGTTAGTCGTTTCTGGTTTATGTGTTTTGTGATGCCAGTTTGTTATTGGCTTTTCCTTAAATAGAGGAGATGGGTAAGTTGGTGTTGAAATGAATTAAACATTTCCTTCATGTTCTTCTTCATTTTTCACTTTCAGATTTCAAGCCCATGGTTTATACCCTTGGCATATCTGGTCATTGCTAAATACACATATAGCTTAGGCGAGTTCCTCTTCTGTGGTGGCACACTTCAAGGCTGGTGGAATGATCAAAGGATGTGGATGTTTAGAAGGACATCTTCCTACCTCTTTGCCCTCATTGACCTGATACTTCAAGCATTAGGGTTCTCCAAGTCAGCATTTCTCATCACAGCAAAGGTGACTGACACGGATGTGTCACAGCGATATGAGAAAGAGATCATGGAGTTTGGGATCCCTTCTCCCTTGTTTCTCATCTTAGCAACTCTTGCACTGCTCAACTTATTCAGTTTGGTGATGATGAGTTTCAAGAGTGTAGTAATGAACATGAAAGCTGGAGATCTTGAGGCATTGAGCATGCAAATGCTTCTATGTGGGACTGTGGTTGCACTGAACCTCCCAGTATACCAAGCCCTTTTTCGTCGTAAGGATAAGGGGCGCATACCTTCCTCTATCACATTTAAATCGGTTGTTTTAGCCCTATCTGCTTGTATTATGTCGTCTTATTAATGGGTTGTGTTGAAATCAGAAATTGGTCGGGCATGCTATGTATTTCATAGAATTTCTCGATTTTAGATCTCAATTCAACTTTCAGTACATATATTAATCCTATGTTTCATTAGTACTTGTTTGTTGACATTTTTTTTTGGTACAAAATTCAGAACAACAAGTGTTATGATTTATGATAGATCTTTCTTGGGCGACAAACAACATAGAGGATATGAAGAATAAAATTTTCAAAAAACATAAATTAATGTTATTAAGGTTTTAGTTTTTTTTATTAGGATTAAGTGAAGTGATTATCTTAAAAAAATACATGATACTAATGTAATTTAGTATCTAATTTTGAACAATTAACTAATGTAATTTAGGTATATTAATTATAAAATCATTACTTTATTAATAAACTATTATTATTTTAATTATAAAATCAAAATGTTTCATAGACGTCTTTTGAAAACATCAGTATTAGGGGTGAGCAAATGGGTAGGTTCTACCCGGAACCGAATGGAACCGACTTCGAACCGGGCTTGAATTGACCCTACCCAATCTATTATAGGGTAGGGTCTAGTTCAAAATTCTTGGAACCGATCCCCACTCAGGCCAGTTCCAAGGTCTAGGGGTTTACCCTACCTAAACTGACCAGATGAATTGGCCTTGGTCGGCCTTGATAGAACCGACCTTATTGGAACCTACCTTGGAACCGAACTTGCCTTGAAATAAACCCCAAAATATTTTGGGGGATGTAAAGATTTGAACCCAAGCATTCATGGTTACAAAGGTCATGGTCTCACTTGACCATTGTCCATTGAGTTACTTAAGTGATTTGATCATTTATATTCATTCTAATATTTGAATATGTACAATAAATAGTGTAAAAGGTAATATTTTAAAATTTTAAATTTAATTTATGTTTTTAATCATATACCAATAATCTACATATTAAGTTATCTAATTTAATCAATAAAGATAATATAAGTTTTAAACTATATATTATATTTATTAAAAATCATGTTTTTAAAGAATATGCTTTTTTTTGTGAAGGAGAGAGTAAAGAAAGTACAAATTCCATGAATAGACCTTGGAATCGACCCAGAACCACCAAAACCAAAATTGACCTTAAAACCGACTCTTAGAGAGTAAGTTCCAATTCCAAAAATTAGACATTGGAACCAACCCTGGAACCACCAAGACCAAAATCGACCTTGAAACCGACTCTTAGAGAGTAGGTTCTAGTTTCAAAAACCTAGAACCGACTAGGTTCAAGGTTATAGATAAATGAAGAAACGATTCAAACATAATATTATAAGTGGATTTAACCGTTTTGATCCTTGGGCTCAATCCCAAATATGTTAGGATTTAACCATGGTTGGAATGGTTTCAGAGCATTGGGCTGGAGTTGGGTTAAACTAGGGTTAGTAGATGGCTTTAAAAGGGAGTGCTCACTACTCTGTTTTCGCACCCTTCTCGTCTACTTTATTCGAAGCCTTCCCTCTACTGAAATTGGATGGTGGACACCTCCATTTCCCCTTCAGTTTTTCATTTGTTTTAGGGTTTCATTTTGTTCTTCTTTCTTGTTTCCAGCTTCCAGTTTCTGCCCTTCTGGTGAGCTCCCTCCCTGTTGATCCTATTCCTATGCTTTTGTTTCTGTTTGATGAGCTCTGTGAATCACCCCCCTCCAGTATCTTTGGGGTTATAATCATCTGTCTCAATTTCAACATGTTGCACTGTAAAACCTCTGGATTTGTTCCTCTGGTTTTTGGTGGTTTTATTGTTTTAAATTTTATTTGCCTTGAACTTAAAGAAGAATTCTAGGTGAACTCAGAATCCTTCGACAGAAATAACAATACCATTGATGGAGAACATTTTCACAGAGAAATTAATATGAAAAAATTATCTAGATCCTTGTATATGGCCCAAACCTTTAAAACTTCAACACTTATATGCGAAAACTTTTCTCTCACAGACACATTGTTTTTATATGCTGTAGAACTTTTCTCTCACAGACACACTTACACAGAGAGAGAGAGAAGGAGATGGGTGGCGAAGGGTATCTCCCTCTGTTTGAAACAAAGGAATTGAAGGGTCGAATCGCATATAGATTGTATGCACTCTCGGTGTTGGTTTGTTTTTCATTGTTTTTGGCGTACAGAGTGACTCATTTTCCAGGAAAAGAAGAAGATGGAAGGTGGGCTTGGATTGGAATGTTTGGGGCTGAGCTCTGGTTCAGCCTTTACTGGCTGATCAATCAGCCTGCTAGATGGAAGCCTGTCTTTCGACGTACTTTCAAAGACGGGCTCTCACAGAAATACGAGAACGAATTGCCGGGAGTGGACATTTTTGTATGCACAGCAGACCCCAAAATAGAGCCCCCAGCCATGGTGATCAATACTGTTTTATCAGTCATGGCGTACGACTACCCGCCAGAGAAACTCAGCGTATATCTCTCCGATGACRGTGGGTCAGACCTAACATTCTACGCTTTGTTAGAGGCCTCCCGTTTCTCAAAGCACTGGCTCCCGTTCTGCAAGAAATTCAAGGTCGAACCTAGGGCGCCGGCGGCTTACTTTTCCACTGCAACTGATCCACTTAATCCAGTCGAAGCCGAGGAGTTCTGGTCTATCAAGGTAAGCACCTACCTTTACTATAATTAAAATATGTTATCGCCATAAGTATGTATAGAGAGTACTCCTTCAGGTGTGGTGTGTTTGCTTTTGATAGAAAATAAGAAAGAATTTTCCCTCGACTTTCTGTTTCTTTCTTATTCTCTCAAACCAAACAGCTTTAATGGATTGATGTATAAGGTCAACCTATATCTGGCCATTGCTGCTGCGTAGTCTGCAAACGGTATCTGTGTTTGTTTCATTAAGATCCTACAATCAGAATCGGAATCGGAATGGTCTATTTTTATAGAATGGGAATAAGAATTGGAATCATCATAAATGAAATTTCATTCCGAAGGGGTAGGGAATTGCTATTCCCTCAAAGAGAGAAGTATCATTTCAACAAGAATGAAAATGAGATTCCAATTCCAATTCCTGACTTCTATTCCTGTGAACCAAACAGGACCTTAATTATACATGTTTATAATTGTTGATATGAGTTGTTTGGTCACAAATTTTTGTCTTTCGAGTGTAAATCAAAATAAACCTATCCCCAACTGTAAAGTGGAGCTAGGATTTCTGAGGTGGATTCAACAGTAAAAATCCCAAAAATCTAATAACCCCGAAAAGACATGAAATTAAAAGTGCATTGACCAATCAAAACCTACCCATAAATTTTGTAAAAAAGTATGGATAGGCTCAATGCAGATTTCTGATTTCTATTTTAGAATTATAAATATTCAAAATGTCAACAATCCACACTCTATGCATCAATACCCACCTGTGAATTGGCATCAATTTCGAACTAGCACCTACCCCAACAGTAATTTGGTCCTATAAATTCTGGGTTGAACCATCATTGTTTCTCATTTTGATAAATGACACCGAGTGATTAATACATTTATAGTTAAATGGGTTGATTGGTCACAAATTGGTCAGATATTGTGTCTTTCCAGTATGTAAAGACGAGTCTGGATCACCGGCCCACGAGAACTCTACCCATGCCTACCCACAATACACTACCCCCAGTGAATCGGGAACATCTCCCCCTGCATAATACTATGCAAAGGATGAGTTGTTTGGCCCGATGCATGGCCTGACCTGGCCCAAGGCTCAACCCACGAGCCAGTCTGGCCCCCGGCACGGCACGTCATGGCCCGGGCCCGGGCCGTGGGCTATGCTGGGCCGACCACCAAATTTTTCACCAGGGAGGACGGCAGGGCCCGTGATGGCCCGCGGGCCAACACAACACAGTCCGCACTTTGTGCGGGCCGCCCACGGGCCCGACACGACCCACTTTACACCTCTAGGTGAGATATATATAAAGATCTCATTTCAAAAAAAAAAAAAAAAAGACATGACTAATAGTAGGAAAAAATGATTTAAAAGCCAATAATGAAACATGACTGCTTGTGGTTGATCCCATATAATTGGGATAAGGTTCGGATGAGGATGACAATGTGATTATACCTACGTAAAATTAATATTTATTTATTTGGCCAATTTATTATTTATAGTTTATTCTCCCTCATATTTTTTTATTGGTTTCTAAAATGTATTTACCATGGTTTTTGAACCGTTATTAACCTGAATGGTCGGATTGTTCGGCCCGAGAACCGTCCAAGCAACCGGTTCTGTTTTATCCCAAACTTGGTCCTTGGCAAAAAATCGTTGAATCAATCAATGATCCATTGACTCGAGCAGCCAACTCGTTGACCCGTTCAATGCTTTTTGACCATTTTTAAATATTATTTTTTAATTTTTATTTTCAGAACAGGCTGTCCATTTGAACCGGACGGTCGAACCATCGACCCAATAACTGGTGGCCAAAATGGTTTGACCCGTTTAATGATTTTTTACCATTTTTTATTTTTAATTATTATTTTTTAATTTTTAATTTTTATTATTAGAACAAGTCATGCATTTGAACCGGACAGTCGAACCATTGACCCAATAACTGGTGGCCTAAATGGTTATGTTTCCGGGATATTTTTTAAAACCATGTTATTTACCCATATCCCACTATAGTACACCCCCTCCCCATGACTTGTGATAGGTTCCCTCTGAAGCTATTCCAAACACACAAGAATATCTAAGGGGGATTGAACAATAAAAACCCCTATTTATTATAATAAAGTAGGTTTTCGAAGTAAAATAAAGTAAGTTAATGTTGTACTCTTGTTAAAATGTCAAGGTTTAACTTTTCAAGTTTCATACAAGTTAGTTTTAATTCATTTGATATTATTCATGATGTGGAATATTAATTCCATTTTTAATTTATTCATTAAAAATATAAAACATTTTGACTACATATTTCTTATTTTGTTACATGAATATTAACTCTCAACTAAGGCTGCAATTTGGGCCGGGTTGGCCCAAACCTAACCCTAACCCAATCCGAAAAGGTTGGGTTGCGTGAGGTCGGGTTGATGCTCGGGTTAGGGTTAGGATTGAAATTTATGAACCCGACTTCATTTCGGGTTGGATTAGCATTGACCCCTTGGACAACCCGACCCAACCCGATCCTCACTCTTTATAGATGTATGATAGTTGTATAGCCCTCATTACATACTATCATGTCTTTCTTTTAAGATAATCACTTCACTTAATCCCAAATGAAATGATTTGAAATGATTATCAATGTCTGATAATCACTTCACTCATAATAAACTATAGTCACTTCAAATCAGACATTGATTTGTATAAGCCCCAACCCGAAGTTAACTTTGGGTTGGGTTGGGTTGGGTTATGATTGAAGGAATTTAGTTAGGGTTAGGATAGATCCGGTTGAAGGTCAGGTCAGGTTAGGGTTAGGGTTGGGGGTTTAGAGCTTAGGATTGGGCTAAGGTTGGCATCAACCTGAACTAACCCGCCCCGACTTGCAGCCCTAATTTCAACATGTTTTGAATCCCACCTTAATCCTAATATTTGATTCAAATACAGACATCAAAATATCAGACTTAGGACTAGCATATCAGATTTGCATCCTAACTATTTATTTATATAGGGTAAGATTTGTTGCCAATAAGTGTGCCCAAGGACATGATGAGGTCGATATTGAGAATTGAAGTAGATGTCTCACAGAAGTAATAGTGGTACGAGGTGGAGCAGAAACAACACTAGTTACTCCAACTGTTCTCGAGCCATTTTGCTGCATAAAAACCAGCACACAGTTAGCATTGGCTATAGGGAGAAGATCACCATCCATGGCAGAACCAACATCACCAGATCTAGAGAATGATTCTTTAATAGTCGGACATGTAGACATCTAGAATTTGTCACCGAAACCACCATATGTTCTTGCAGGATCGGCTTCACCGAAACCACCATCACCAAGAGTGATGGATCTGAATTCAGCATCACTTCAGCAATGGAAGGACAAAATGGAACTCTTTATGAAAAAGGAGGTAATGGACTACTTATAGTCCCTTAGTTTAGGAATAAAGCTGAAGCATCTAGCCTAATGGATCGGATCATGATCCAATCCAATCCAAATGGATTGTCGGATTGGACCAAATAATTGGATGCACATGAAAATCCGATCGAATTCGAATCAGCCCCCTATCCGATCCGATCTGATATATATATAAACAACCCGAAAATGAAATTGTTCTAGCCTGATTTACGGGTCGATGGTTCGATCATCTGATTTGAACGAATGGCATATTTTGACAATAAAAATTAAAAAAATAAAAAATGTTATTCTCCTTCATATTTTTTATTGGTTTCTAAAATGTATTTACCATGGTTTTCGAACCATTTTTGACCTGAATGGTCGGACTGTTATTGACCTGAATTATTCTCCCTCATATTTTTTTATTGGTTTCTGAAATGTATTTACCATGGTTTTTGAACTGTTATTGACCTGAATGGTCGGACTGTTCGGCCCGAGAACCGTCCAAGCAACCGGTTCTGTTTTATCCCAAACTTGGTCCTTGGCCAAAAACCGTTGAATCAATCAATGATCCATTGACCCGGGCAGTCAACCCATTGACCCGTTCAATGATTTTTGACCATTTTTTATTTTTAATTATTATTTTTTAATTTTTAAATTTTATTATTAGAACAGGGCATTCATTTGAACCAGACGGTCGAACCATCGACCCAATAACCGGTGGCCAAAATGGTTTGACCCGTTTAATGATTTTTGACCATTTTTTATTTTTAATTATTATTTTTTAATTTTTAATTTTTATTATCAAAACAAGCCGTCCATTTGAACCGAACTGTCGGACCATCGACCCAATAATCGGTGGCCAAAATTGTTCTGTTTCTGGACCGTTTTTTAAAACCATGTTATTTACCCATATCCCACTATAGTACACCCCCTCCCCATGACTTGTAATAGGTTCCCCCTGAAGCTATTCCAAACACACAAGGATATCTAAGGGGGACTGAATGATAAAACCCCTATTTATTATAATAAATTAGGTTTCCTAAGTAAAATAAAGTAAGTTAATGTTGTACTCTTGTTAAAATGTCAAGGATTAACTTTTCAAGTTTCGTACAAGTTAGTTTTAATTCATTTGATATTGTTCATGATATGGAATACTAATTCCATTTTTAATTTATTCATTAAAAATATAAATCATTTTGACTACATATTTCTTATTTTGTTACATGAATATTAAATCTCAACTAAGGCTGCAATTTGGGCTGGGTTGGCCCGAACCTAACCCTAACCCAACCCGAAAAGGTTGGGTTGGGTTAGGTCGGGTTGATGCTCTGGTTAGGGTTAGGGTTGAAATTTATGAACCCGTCTTCATTTTGGGTTGGGTTAGCTTTGACCCCTTGGACAACCCGATCCTGACTCTTTAGTATATGTCATATATAAATATATGTTATATATATATATATATATATATATATATATATATATATATATATATATATATATATATATATATATATATCGGACATTGATTTGTTTTTAGATGTATGATAGTTGTATAGCCCTCACTACATACTATCATGTCTTTCTTTTAAGATAATCACTTCACTTAATCCCAAATGAAATGATTTTAAATGATTGAAAGAATTTAGTTAGGGTTGGATTATGTTGATTTGAAATGATTATCAATGTCTGATAATTACTTCACTCATAATAAACTATAGTCTTTTCAAATCAGATATTGAATTGTAT